TAACTCAATTTACCAGGAAGACCGTGCAATGATTTGGGTTCAAAACACAAAAGGATGCTTCAGAGTGCAGAAGCCTACCTTCAGCACCTTAAAGATGCCGCAACGTCTCCAGGGATCATGTAACTGGCCACCATAGGCTCTGCACGATGCTGGGCAAAGATGTCTTTGGCTTACAGAGCTGCAGAGAGGTGCTAGGTGTGTACTCTGGTACACTTTTAAGCAGCTTTTTGACTTCTAATCAGAAGCACTGCACAGCCCTATTTGCCATATACTGTCTAATTCACAGGTGCAAATTATCCAGCAGTGTGCAGATACAAGTTTAAAGTGCAAGCCTTAAAACTATCATCCATGGATCATCTATAGCCATGACCTATCCTCTTTTTATATTATTTATACTCAAATGAGTTAATTCTCTGGCTAAAATCTCCATCTAAAAATGGACACTTAAAAAAACAAAATACTGTAACCCTGGAGTGGGTGCCATTGAACGTGGCTGTTGCATAGTTACTTACAAAAACTTAGTGACCAAAATGGAATCTTCAACTTTTAATTAAAAACGCAAACAGTCTTGCAAAGAAATGTTACCATCAAATCTGTCAGAGTTAAATAGCAGTTCCACCAAAGTAAAAGGAAAAGAAGAAAAGAAACCAGTATCTCCATGATTATTTTTCTTATTCTTAACTTTGAGAATAATGTAACATATACAGGATACATTGTAATGCCATTCACTTCTTTGAACCAGCAAATGTTAACATTGCTCCTCTTCTGGGAGGCAGGGAGCCTTAATGCTGGGCTCCAATATATCCTCTCCCTATCACAGAAAATGTTTTGGCAATCCAAGTAAAAACAGCAGTAAAATTCCATATCATAACATTTATTTTCTTGTTTGCTGGAGAATCTTTCCTCTTTCAAAACCATACCACATGCTGTTTTGTTCTTTTCAACTTCTTACAAAACTTTTGAAAAGGATTTCTGAGCATTGCATTCCTTTCTAAGATAGCTAATATTTTCTATACTGGAACATCAATGCTTCTAGGATTGGGAAAAAATACCCTGCGGAACTCTGACAGTCCATCAAATGTGCTACTTCAACACTACCAAAACTAGCAGCATCAACAGCAATGGCAATGAAGCCAATGGACATTGGTGCGCAGTGACATCATCATACAAATCCTGCAATTGCATCCTTGCATCCCAATGGTGTGGCATCCACATGATGCCACTGCATTTCATCATTTGCCTCCCTCCTTGCTCTCCCTACAGACACTCACTATCAAGACACAAACAAACCTGTCATTCATGATTCTGATGAAGAAATTTTTGCCTTTCTTAATCTGATACCCTCTGGGTATACTAGGAGTAGAAATTCCTACAATTCCCACTTGCTTGGCTGGGGTTTATGGGAGATTATAGTTCCAATATCATCATGGCAGATGGCAGCAGATGGCTGACCTTGTTAAGGGGCTTTGAACGTAGCAAGTACATACATAGGAGATCACCGAGAAATCCCAGGGCTATAAACTAAATTGGGAAGTTTTTAAAAAAATCCAAGAACACAATGGAAAACCATTTTAGCACTGCTGCCAAGAAAACTACTTGAACATATCCACGTACTCACCAGAAAATTAACTTTAGGGAATCCTTATACCAGTTAGGAAAAGCTGTGATAAATGCATGCCTATGCCCAACTGCTTCTAATTTTCTGCGTAGGGGATCCATTTTGAGCATATTCTGGGTAGTACCCTTCTTTCTCAAAATCTGGAATATAATAGGTCTGGAATCTTCCATGAAGTGATTACAATTTGCATTTTATTATTGGCAATGAAGTAATTATTCTCAGATTGACAACAGGAAGTAAGAGCTACCTAACATAATCTTTATATGTGGCCCTTCCAAAAACACATGGAAAAAACCACTTTGCATCAGACTAGATACTGATTCTGAACTTTCCCTGAATCTCACTTTCTTCACTTTGGTCTGGAACTACTGATTGATTTTTATAGTATAGAATGAGCACATGGTATAATCCTTGAGAGGCGGTGGGTAGTTTGTTAAGTCAACAAAGATAATGAAGAATCATTAAGGAATTAGAATTTGGAAGAAAGCAAAGATCTTCTGACCCAAAAGCACCTAACATTTTTGATATGCAACAGTATAATTCTGCTAATCCTTCAGAACTGAATACGCAGAGTTTTCAATAAGAATTATGTGACTGAAACTTTAAATCACTAACTAGTTACTGGAAGGTTTAGAAATCTACAGAAATACAGTGCTTCAGAATAATGTCTCTCTGCCATTCCCCATTAAGAGCGGACCCAGGTGACACTACGCAGAAGGAGAACACTCTCAAATATTTTGCATCTATATAATTTAAGTGGAACACAGACTTGAGATTTGGCCTCATGGAAACCAAAGATACAAACATGGAGATTTAGTGTGACATCACATTTCAACCAATCTCCCATTCTCCCCTTTATAAGAAGCCAATATCCCTTCTTCCCAACACATGAACATGCCAACCCAAAGATCAGAGCCAAAATAATGCCACCAGTGGCCGCTGGCTGAGGCCATTGTTTAAAAACAACTCCTGCATCTTTTAGATTAAAAAAATCTGCCTTTATCTATCATAGTCAGATGCCACCTATCTCTTCAGTCTTTTGCATGGCAGTGTTGTGCCTGGTAGCATCCATTATTTGTTGGCTCCTTCTCCTTAATTCCAGCTTGTAACTAGATACTGCCCAAATGCTCTTCAAAGGAGCCATATGTTTGCATTCATTTACAACAGAACAACACTAATGTAGCCTAATAAAGAGAATACTTAGCCTGGATGTGGCTGGCCTAGATGTCAGCTCCACCTCAACTCAAATTGCAAATTACTAAACAAATCATTATCCAAGCAAGGTAGAGCTGTGAAGTAGTGGAGAAACTAATAAAGTAAGAAATTAACATTATAGATTCAATATTCTGCATTTCTCAGCTGTGTTCCACTCTAAATAGTGTTCAGCTGTGGATGTGATTTTAAAAAACCCCTTTAGAAAGAGAAGTGGGAGAATCTGACACATTTCAGCAATGATTAACACAATTCTAGGAAGACATTGCTTAAACAAAAGTCTGTGGTTACTGCCATTTAAAAATATGTTTCCTGTGGACACCAGATGTTTGATGGTGAAAGGAGAGGGCAGGGTGGTGGCACTGAAAAGGAGAATATTCTAGCTTAGTTTCTCGTATGAACTCCTTGTGCACAAGACAGGAAAACATGACTGTGTGTGGAAGAGGCGGGGAGAGAATAATTAATCCTTCAGCTAATGTTTTCCTACTAGAATTCAACTTAAAATCTATTAGAAAATCTGGTATGTGCCCTTTTAAGAATCACATTACCCCAATTAGGCAAGTATATGACAGGATGTACGAAAAACTGGAAGATGGGGAAAAAAGCACAGCATTGCTTATATAATTAGCACCCAAGAGATTCCCAAGATGCAGAGATTTATCTTTAAACACCTGTTTATGAAATCAGTAAGAAGATCAAGCAGCACAAGAAGATACTTGGGATTGTGATCACCTGCTGCAGATGTATTTGTAATTTCAGAGGGTAAGTCAATAAAATACTGCCCCCCAACCCTATTTGCCTTATTGCTTAAACATGGGAGAAAAACTGAGTTTGTACATTGGGATACTAGACAAATGGGAAAGGGGATATATCCTCAGATTTCCAAAGAGAACCATTCAAAAGCTGCAATCACCAAGGTAAGTAAACAACCTACAAATCTAGAAGAAAATACTTAGTATTCTTAACCACTAACATGTTTAACATTACACACTATAGGTGCAAACTCACTTCAGAGACTTAACTGGCCTTTTTACTAGAACCTCAAGCTCTATTAATTGGAATCAGATTAAAAATAGTGACTCAGAGTAAAATTAAGGAATGTAGATCAAGAAGTTGCATTTAGCATCTGAACTGAGTATTCAGCACTCCTTGCACAAAAATTTACTCCTGCTTCTTTCCCTTCCCCAAAGCAAAAATCTTTCTTGAGTTGAAGAATAATTGTGGGGGGAGGAGTGGAGGGCTTTGGACAGGAGGTGAATAGAGAAGGACACACCTGTATTAGTCTGTTTATTGCCTAGAGCATCATATTTTCTGCCAAGCTAAACTGCCAAGAAGGCTGCATAAATCATGGCTTTCCAGCAATTTTTCAATATCTCCTATTAGATACCAGCTTGACAGGGTAATATTTTTGAGTACCAATGTACTGGCATGACAGGCAAACATTTTTATAAAGTGGCCTGAACCTAACTGGTATTATAGCAGGATAATACACTGTAGGATGCAGCTATTTCAACTGGTTTCACAAGTCACGATTATGTGATTTGCCTTCTCATATTACGGTGGTAGCAACTAACTTAAGATAATTATAAAGAAAAGAGAACAAAACTAGATCCGTGCAAGGAGGATAGCTTTGTCAATGGCTTTTTCCAAAATCACATGATAAAGCCTTGCTTATCAGTAGAGCTCCATTTATTTCTTGTCAAAGGGAAAAATAAGGCAGGCAATATGTTTTAGATTACAATTCCTATGATCCCTGACCATTGGCATTGCTGGCTAGGGTTGGTGGAAGTTGTAATCCAAAACATTTGAAGGGCACCAGGTCGACAACTCCTGTAAAAAGAATGCCTATAATTTTCTTGTCCTGCCTGCAGTTTCCAGAACTATCTGGCTGGCTGCTGTCATAAACTGAATCCTGATTCCTGCTCACTTTTGCTTTTGTGCTAGAGATGCTGCTGGCACAAATAATGTAGATCATCATTTAAAATTGTTTCATGTGTCTATACAATGGCCAAGTTAATATTAACACAATGGGGTGGACAAAGAATGAAACCGCAGGAAAGTAAAATATAAACACTTTCAAGCTTTGTGCTGCCGGACAGCCCTTAGCTCCTCTTTAGTTAAATCAATTCCCTGTAATTTGAGGTCAGCACATGTAAACAACCACCCTTACCTCCTGGGACAAGAACGGAATGACCTGGGCACAGATGGCATTCAGCCTCTTGACAATTTCCGCCTATGGATGAGAAAGAAAAAGTTAGTGAGTAGCAAGTTGCAAGCATATGATTGTGGTCATATATAAAAAGAAAATGCATTTAAAGTGGTGATTTGGACAAAAACAGCTCAGCCCTTTGGACTGACTCCAGATGTTATAATGGCATACTTTTAAGTTTGCACTGTAGCAACTACAGTAACTTCCCTATTTGAGAAAAAAGAGTCACCAATGGTTTGAGGTATGTGGCTCTTCCACATTTGTAATAAAAATCCCTGTTCTGTTCAGAAAGGGTGTGTAATCTGTAGCCTATGGCTCACATGCAAGTTTCTAATCCCCCAAACATCCAAAGACTATGTCATTAAATGTTGGTGGCAAAACCGCTGATTTCCAGCTGCAGAAATTTAGTGATTTTTCACATGGGCATTTTAAGCTTCAAAAGAGCTTAATAAATCCTTTTCCCCCTTGATATCCCTAATCAAACAAAACTAACTGAAAACTCTTGAATCCATCCCTGATCATATCATTCTGTTTCCAGACACATCCTTGGGGTCTAAATAAATAACTAGGAAAAAAGTACTACTTTCTCTAGCAAAAAACAGTTACCTGCTACTGGTATACAGTTTGTTCCAATATTTACAGTTTCCAAATCAGTAGGTGGCTAATTCTACTTGACCTCATACCTCCACAGTCTTGAAAGGTGGGAACAAGGCTAACTATCCTAAGTACCTCAACACAGATAGCTTGGCCTTACTGCTAGATCAAGTACTGTACAGAGATTCATTACCGAAATTGTGAGCTCCCAGAGTTGCTTAGGTGAGATTGGCAGCCATACAAATCAAATCAAATCAATAAATAAATTGCTAGGGTAAGTAGCCAAAGGCCCAGGGCCACCTGGAAGCTCCACACCTCTTTTCTACAGGCTCCAAAATTATTCTGATCACAATTTGTGGCATAATTTCTTGTTATTTTGAAGGGGAAAATATTAAAATAATGGAAGTCTAATCCATAACCCTTTGCATAGGGTTTTTTTTTAATGACTCCAAATTCTCCTGCTCACCACCAAGGAGGAAAACATGTCCAGAAAATCCCAGTCCCAAACATTTTGTAACCTCATCTCACTACTGTACCATCCAGTTACCTAAAAAAAAGAAGAAGTGGGGCCTCAGCTACTAAAAGGCTGCTCACCTCTGCAATAGTTCAATTTTCTGTCTCTCTCCCTCTGTCCCTCCCACACCAACCTGACATGTGAATATTTTTTTTAACAACCAGTTAATAATATTAACAATTTATTCCTCAATATGAATGTATGAATCCTTTAATTCACATAATAGTTTTATGTGCAAATATTTAGTCCTCTTACTTGGGTAACCCCCCCCCCGCTTTTTCTTTTCCTATTATTTCCTTTCTTTACATTATAACACAGATGAGAGTTTCATCTTGGTGGTATCTTTTCTGCTCTGTAGAATGTATTCTAGTTAAGCTTCTGCAACTAGGATTTTAAGTGACTCCAAATATTCTGAAGAGATTTGACTGTGTCCACTTCCCTCTTTCAATTTATTTTTAACGGTCCCATCATCTTTTCGTTGTTTTCTCTTTTGAAGTCAAATGAATGTGGGACCTTCCTTTGCTGTTTTCTATTTATATATTAAATTTGATGGGTATGAGATGGTTATTTCCAAAAGATTAAAAAACACACATTTTATACGGAGCCCTGGACTCCTAAAGTCAACCCTTCCCAGCTAGTTCTATGAGCAACTTTTCTCAGAATCACAGCCATTTCAGGTATATAGAATTTTTTGTCACTTTGATATCAGTGGAACACACATTTACCCTATTTTTCATGTCCTGATTTTTTTTCCCTGGGATTGGATGCAGCCTAGCTCCTATATTTCTTTTTCTAGAGTTCATTTAAGGAACTTCTCTTCCATCCCTTATGTTCTGTAGCCCACAGTGTCAGAATAACCTCTCTTCTCGTCCAAACACATTGAGATCCCTCAGCTTCACCTGTCTAGGAGAACTATACATGAAATAGGCCACATTTCACAAAAAGCTTTGGATATCAACTGCCTATTAAACCTAACTTTTTTACTTCTAGGACTGCACAGTGACATTTTCCCCATGTCACTGCTGCCAAAATGTACTTTAATCATTAATTGTACCTCATGTCTACCATGCCAGCTAGATGGCATAATATATGCAACCTCTGCATCAATTCAGAAAACTATCTATTCCATTAATAATCTAACTGTCCAAATCGCAGCTTCTACCCCATTAGAACTATATAAATCAAAGCAGCTTACAACAATTTTAAGAATACAACACATAAAACAATGATAGTATCAGTACAATTAAAAACAAAATCAAAAATAGTATAAACATCAATAACAACATAAACAACACTTAAAAGCTGGTTAATCTTGATGCACTTCTGAAATGACCTTTGATACTAGGAGAAAAAAGAGCCAAACGCGCTTTCTTGGAGAATACTTCCCATAGCTTGGGAGCTATAGAGAAGCCCTTCTCCTGCATACCAGAGATCTGAGCTTCTGGCAATAGAGGATCTTCAAACAGGTCTCACCTGCTGCTATAAGTAAATGGTCAGGTTCACAACAGAAGAGATAGTCCTGAAAATAACCTGGCTGTGAAAGAAAAATCTCTTCATTCCCCAAGGAACAAGGATCATTTCTTCTTCCTTCCATTCTAGTGATCTTGTGCACCTTTCTTGAGAATGATGTGGTCCTTCCTTAAGTCCCACAGTTTCCAAGGCAACGAAGTATCTGTCACCCTGAAAGATGTGTCTGTCAAATTCTTTGCCTTTCTGTGTTCCTTTTGGTCAAGCTAGCTTGGCTAACTCACCTTCAGTCAGAATCTCATTGTGCTGAACACACACTAAAGTTGATCAGGGTTAACTATGAACCATTCACCCACCATGGCCCCAGAATAGAAAGAAAAAGCACATCAGCTTTGATATTTTAAATCCAGTCATAACACAACCTCCCTCTCAAATTACAGACCAGCGGGGTTTTGCCCATTCAGTTGCCTTCTTCCACACTGCCATTTGATTACTGTGTGAAGGGACAACCACAATCCAGTTGTAAGAAAAATTAAAAGTACCAAATATTATTCAAATAAAAAGAATACAACTTCTGTAAATTTGACAACTGAAAATTATAAATATGTACAATTATTAAAGTGTAATTAAGAATGACACGTAACAGCAAGATCCCCAGATAATAGTCCCCCCCCCCCACGCTAAAAACAAAAACAAAAGCAGATACTAGATACCAAGAAGGACCTGGAAGTCCTGAATTGCTGTCAGGGACCTGGTAAGAAACTGAACTTGGGTGAATCAATTGATGCTTGATCCAGCCATAACAGACTGAGACACTACTCAGCTAGTATTACTATCTGTTCAGGATGTAGTAGCATTCCCTTTGAAGGATCAGGCAAGCAGTCTGGGTGGTCTGGAATCAAACACCTGTGGTTTTTTTGGAAGGTCAGGTCTGGAACATAGATCTGGCCACGGTCACTGTATGCTTTAATTGCCTCATGTTTTGATAACTGTACTGTAACATGTTCTACTGATGAAAGTACTTTTGGAAAATGTCCAGAAAGTACACCTAATACAAAATATACAGCAGGTGTTGTTGTAAAAACAATTTTTTAAAAAATCACCAGATAATACGAACAGAAAGTTTGAAGGAAAAACAACAGAAAAATGTATCTGCAAAAGATACAGCTTGAAAATATGAAGAGATGGCCATGAGGAAACAGACAAAGAGGTGGTCACGATGGGAAACAAAAACAGTAACTGAATATCCAGACTTAATGTTCCTCAGAGCAGACGTGTTGACATCAATAGGACAAATAAGTTATGACTGAAAACATTGATTTCTTTGGGTCTACTTGTAGGGTGAGCAACTCTGCACTGAAGCCAGCGAGATGTAGTTTTAAAAAACCTGGACTGGCCCTGGGGAGACTTCAGTTTGAGTCTACCCTCAACCATGATAGCTCATTGGGCAATTTTCGGCCAGGCACTGTTTCTCACAAGGTGGTTGTGGTGGGATAAAATGGGATGAAGGAACACTATGAAGGCTGCCTTAAGTTCCTAAAGAAACAGTGCGATATAAACCTAATCAAGAAAACAAATAAATAATGAGAACTAATGTAATTGTATTCATTACATTGGATGATAATAATAACAACAACAACAACCCCAAAATGCTTGAAACAAGTTCTTAAGGAACCATCCATAGATATCATCTTTACAAGTGAGCCCTTTATAACAAAATAAGGCACCAGTTATAGTGACCTGAAAAAGTTTCTTAGAAAGTTAAAAAAAAAAATGTAGGCAAGGATCATGAACTTTAATATACAGATAAATAAATACAAGTGGTTGGGGTTGAGGGAGAAAGAGAATGACCAACCATATAGAAAAATGAATACTAAGCAAAAAGGAAATAAAATATTCCTTCTATTTAGACAAATAAACTTACAGTAGTAAAATAAAATGTATAAGTTCAAAATAGAACAGATTGATAAAAGTAAAATAGTTGTATAAAAGAATTCAGATGGTGGAGGAAAAATGTTCAATTTAGAAGCAACAGAAGAGAAAATAAATGATTACAAGAATCAAAAGATGTAAAAACAAAACAAACTTAGCAGAACTAAATGAAATTTAGAATAGGAAAAAATGTTAGAAGTCAGTGAAAGTGCACAAATACAAAATCAATTCAAGACAGAAGAACCTTTGCTTAAAATATATATAAAAATAGAATTTAAGGGCAAAAGTAGTTATTTTAGGGGGCAAAGTAAAGAAATCATTCTAGGTAATTGGAGAAAGAAAAAATGAAGAACAAAGCTTTGAGGGTGGCAGAGATTATTTGGAAAGCTGAGGAAAAGTAATCAAAAAGACTCAAATGACAGAAATAGGGAATGACGAACAATAGATTCATCATCAAAAAACCACGAACAAAGTCAGGGGAACAAGTACAAAGGAGGAATCAACCAAAAGAGATGGC